TTATAGAAAGGGTTCTTAAAAGTCGAATGCTAGACTTCATTAAAAAATATATTCATATGGATAAATTTCAATATGGCTTTTTGAAAAATAGTAACACATTAAGTGCCACAATGGATTTTGTAAACAAAATATGTACTAAATTAGAAGCTAAAAAAGTAGTTGTTGCAATTTTCATTGATCTTAAAAAGGCATTTGATGTTGTTTGTTGGAATGTTCTGTTAGGGAAACTGTACAATATGGGATTTAGAGGGCCTGTGCATAGCATTTTGAAATCCTATCTGGATGGGAGACAGCAATTTGTGGGTGTTGGCCGGTTAACCAGCGATATGGAGTCCGGCGAGTGTGGAGTGCCACAGGGGTCCGTCCTTGGACCATTGTTGTACTCATTGCATGTGCTCAGCCTCAGAAGCGCTGGTCTGACTGGTCAATACTTTACATTTGCAGATGATACGGTGCTGGTGTACAGTGGCGAAAATGTTGAGAACTTGGAAATAGTTATCAATAACGATCTTGGAAAGTACTCAAAGTGGTTATTGCACAATAGATTAAAAATTATTGTTGCTAAAACAAATTTTATCTTTTTTAAACAGAAAAACAAACTTTCTCGAGATCCTGTAATCAAATTAAATAATGTTCAAATTGAAAAGGTAACTCATACTAAGTATTTGGGGCTTATCGTGGATGAGCATTTAAACTGGAGAGACCATACTATGCATGTAACAGATAAAATTGTTCCTATGTTAGGTGCTATTTATAGAGCTAGAGACTATTTAACCAAAGAAAGTAAGATGTTAGTATATAATTCATATTTCCTGTCGCATTTTAGATACCTGATCCCTGTATGGGGCACATGTGGTGCAGTTGATTTTAATAAAATGCAAATTTTGCAAAACAAGGTGTTAAAGGTTCTATTTAAATTAGACTGGCGTACTCCCACTGTGGACCTGTATAGGGATTTGGGCGTTATGATGCTAAAAAATGTTTTACAACTCGAGCAGGGTAAATATATATATAAAGTAGTCAATAATATTCAAAAATATAATATAAGTGTTATATTTTCCGATAGTATTCATGATCATAATACTAGAGCACAACATGTTCTATTTTTGAATAATAATATTAGGACTAATGTAGGATTGTATAATCCATTTTATCAGGCTGCTACAAGATATAATAGCTTGCCGGACAGAATTAAAATAACGAGCTCTGTTAGTGAATTTACTGGAAAATTCATAAATTACTTGTTAGAATAATTGAGTTAAGTATTATATTAGGGGGGGAAAAATATTTTTTCGTTTTTTGTTTTATTATTATCTAAATTTTTGGGTTGAGGTTGGCATACATTTGTTATTTGGTGGTATAGATATGCATTTATACCTATATATTGTTATTATTAATACATACAGGTAGAAATAGTTTTACAAAATTTTCTATTCTAGTTACTATAGTTGTAGACAATTATTCCTAGATACACACTGTTTATTTGTTATATATCCTTGGTACCAGTGCAGTTGAGCACTGTTTTAAGGATTTTACTAATTTGTGTGATTTGTATTTTGAATTGAATTAATAAAGAATTTGTTAAAAAAAAAAAATGTCCAGAAACGCTGAAACTTGAAAGCTTTGAAAGAAGGATGTTGTGATTTACCTTATCAAAGGCTTTACTGAAGTCAGTATATATTGCATGAGTTTCTGCATTATTAGCAAATGATGAATTTATAAATGTTGTAAAGAGAAACAGGTTCGTCTCAACGGATCTACCGGCTGTAAAACCGTGCTGTTGGCTGATCACAATCTGATGAAATATTTTTGAGAGAATTTCTTCCACGCACTGCTCAAATAATTTTTGGAATCGCAGACAGAATGCTGATGGGTCTGTAATTTGTTACATCATTTTTGCTGCCTGACTTGTAAATAGGACAAACGTAGGAGAGCTTCCACATTTCTGGAAAAATTCCAGAAGATAATGATTTGTTGAAAATATTCAATAGAGGAAGATACAAAGTGTTAGAACAAGATTTTAGTACTCTGTTGGGAATACCATCAGGTCCTGCAAACTTGTTGAAGTCCAATTGCGTTAAAGCCCTCGCAATATCGGTTGGATCTATGACAATGCTTGAAACATTTTCAAATCGATCAGCAAAGGTTCCAGCGTCGAAATTTCTCTGAGGGTTATAGACGGAGGAGAAATAGACAGCAAAAAGATTAGCTATGTCATTACCGTTGGACGCCTTTTCTGAGGCAAGAAACATTTCGTTAGGAATAGTACCCTGATTAGATTGGGAGTGAATAAAGTTCCAAAAAATTTTCATATTGGTGCCTATGGCTCTTTCAGTATCACTTATGTATGATTTGTAGCACTCTTTGGTGAGGTTTTTACAATCTCTCCGAAGTGTACTAAATGCAAAGTAATCCAAACCACTATTCGACCGCTTGAATCGTTTGTGAGCAATTTTCTTTTGAAAAATCAGATTTTTCAATTCGTTAGAGAACCAGATAGGAAACTTGTCGCTGTAAGAATGTGCCTTTATGGGAACAAACATATTAAAGCAGTCGAACAGTACCGAGTAAAAGCTCTTAACAGTTTCGTTTAGATCCTCCATCATAATGGATCGCCAATCAAAGGAAAGAAAATATTCATTAACTAAATCAAAATTGGCATTTTTAAAGTCATAAGAAAAATAATCAAGAGGCTTCAGAAATTTAGCTTTAACAACAGGTATGGAAAACTCTAGAGCTGGGTGATAACGATCACAGCCCACCAGACCGTCAGATGTTACAAGTGAAATAGGCCCAAAGTTGGCAAAGCATAGATCCAGGATTGAACCATGATCGTTAGCCACCCCATTGTATTGAGACAGATTAAGAGAAGCAGTACTATCGCATAACAATATTTCCTTAGTTGTCCTTACATTTCCAGGTAATAAACCTGAGAGATCCTCACTAGTGGACCACGTTATTTGGGAAAGATTATAATCTCCAAGAACAAGCACATTATCAAACATTTCACAGGCACTAGCAACTGATTTCAAATGGTTTTCATAATGGAACACATCCATGGTAGGTGGAATGTAGACACAGCCAATACAGAAGACCATGTCACCCAGCGTCACAGACACCCACGCGTTTCCTCCACCGATGCTTCACCAATTGACAGGCGATGATATTTTAGGCAATTATTTACTGCCAGAAGGACCCCACCTCCACGGCTAATGACATATGTTATTCCCCCCGGGAATAATGACGAGTAGCGGGATTAATGGTCATTATTCCTCAAAAGTGTCAGTGTCAAACCTGTAGTGCTTGTGGATTTCTATCGAAAATTGTGATGGATGAAATTTGTTCATCAAAAATCTCAAATAAATTTATTTGTCGTAAATAAAGTAGAGTATACTACTCGCAATAATGACTATTATTCCCTCGGAATGTTACTCCCTCGCCGCTAACGCGGCTCAGTTCGTAAATATTCCTAGGGAATAATAGCTATCATTATTGACTCGTGGTATAATCTACTATAAGATATTCACTCTCCATCTCAGAATTTATTAATAAATTAAAAAATACGTAGAAACACTATAAACACTATAAAATTCACTTTGAAAACAACAAGGGCCAGAACACTAAAAAATACGTAGAAATACTAAATACTATAAAATTCACTTTGAACACAACAATGAGAAATACGTAGAAACACATAAAATTCACTTCGAAAGCAGCAAGGGCCAGAATACAAAACAAATGCTCTTCTTATGAATGTCAAATGTCGCCGGCTTGTCACCGCAATATTTGACCCGAACGGCCATTATAAAATCACGTGATTGAGATTGCCTAATTCAGATCCAAATACCGAACGTACGGGTAATTTACTGCGCATGACACAAGCTGTCACGCATTGAAAAAGCTTGCAAGCTTGCACTTCGGAGTCGGCGTGCATGCTAGCACGAAATTGAATTGAGGATGCCAACGTTAAACAACATTGTCCTAGCATGCGTGCCGAAAGTGCCACTTCGCTACCAGATTGATTGAGGATGGGCCTTGAGTCGGGCTTGAGCACTCCAGGTGCAGCACACACTTTTCGAAAGGAATAAGCGCGTAACGCCCCGGAGCCGTTCCGGAGCTCCTCCTAGGTGTGAAAGGAATACAACTTATTTTGCACATCTATAATCCCAATTCTATAATTGAATGGCCTCGATCGACTCTTCGATTTCGAATATTGAAAATTTCGTGGTGATAAACCATAAATTCCGAACCTGCTGCACCTTTTCGTGACATTTTGGTTCTTAGGATTTCGATGCTCAAAACCGCAATATCGCTAGTTATGACAATCACCGACAGGTGACACTTCATTTACTTTTTCTAATTTTGTGGCATTTACTACCATCAAATTTATTTGCACATCCAAAATCCCAATTTCATAAATGAATTAATTCGCTCGAACCTTCAATTTCGTGCACTCAAAATTTCGGGTTGATAAACGATAAACCAACGATAAACTATTAATTTCGAACATCTTCACCATTTCGTGTCATTTCGGTTGTTAAGATTTCGGTGCTCAAAACCGCAAAATCCCTAGTTATGAAAATTACCGACAGGTGACTCTTTCCTTGCGTTAGGTACAGTGGCTAAATAAACCTTTACATACAGTGGCGACAATAGAGTTCCCGCCGCCATCTTGTTCCCAACCTCTTGTTACTTTCAAATATTAATATATAAGATTTAAATAGACATCTATCATAAAAAATTAAAATCGGCATATTTGATGACCATTATTAGGTTCATCAAATACGTTGTTTTCCATGTTTTATGATGGATGTTCACCTAAATCCTATATATTCATATTTAAAAATAACAAGAGGTTGGGAACAAGATGGCGGCATTTTCAATATAAACATATGGGACTTTTGAACCAATCAAAAATGAGACCGCAATTGTCGCCACTGTGGTAATAAAGTCACTGTAGCGTTAGGTATTTTGCTCGAAGAGCGTGCTGAGCGGAGCCGTAATCACGTGACCAGCGAGCGAACAGACCAGTTGAACAAGAGTTGAACGCTATATCAGAGTGCCAGAAATTTTAATAAACGAATGGGAATGAGCCTGCACCGAGTACACCTTTAATAAACGAACGGTAAATTCAAGCTCGGAGAACTCAGATCAAAATACCTAACGCACTGTTTATGTAGGTACTTGCTTCAATTTTGTGGCATTAAAGGCCGTTTTACAGCTTGCAAGAAAACTTGAATGCAATTTTTTGCATGCAAAAAAATTGCATTCAAGATTTCTTGCACGTCGTTTTACACCTTGCAATTTGACTTGTTTTCTTTCTAACCTTAACCATACTTTTTTGTTTTTAATGTTGTGTTATTGATGTTTGTATTTTCCAAAAGTGAAAAAAGTGATTATAAGTCGATATAAAAAGAAGAAAGCAATAGTAGCCACTTTAAGCATCATAATTGCTGGAAATTCCCCAACTTGCGCGAAAACCTTCAAGAAAAATGGCACCAAACCGATTGCATGCAATGCCATTCAAGTTTCAAGAATCTTGCAGAAAACAATCAGCTGACTCACTTCTGCGCATGCCCTCGTTCAAGTTTCTTGCATATTGCAATTAAATAGAATTGCAAGCTGTAAAACGGCCTTAACTACCATCAAGAAATGAAACTGAAAATCTAAAAATCCCTATTTCATAAATGATTTTTTCGCTCGAACGACGAACATTCGATTCCAGTTCATTGTCGATTTCAAGCACAAGTTTCAGTCGGGGTGATAATTTAACCATAAAATTCGAACAGCTTCTGCTTCAGCATTTCGTGCCATTTCACTCATTTCTGTTCTTATGTTTCATCCTCACTTGCGCGAAATTCGCTCTTTTTTTGACATTACTTCAACAATTTGATGTTTTATGCATGTATCAAACGTCACATTTTCGAAGCAATGTCAAAAAAGAGCTAAATTCGCGCAAGTGAAAATGAGGCATTAGGATTTCGGTGCTATAAACCGCAAAAAAAAAAATAGTAGCGGAGGTTCGTGTCATTAGAGAATTATGGCACCTTCAAATAGCGACGGTAGTGCCATTTCAACATGTTGTGCCATAATTCTTTTTATTCATAAGAAATAGTGACATTCAGTAATTAAATAAGGCCGATCAGTAATAAAATCGATCACTATTTCTACACACATATCGATAATTTGCCCATTTATATTTATGCAATGCGAAAACTCTCGCTGGCCCTGGAGCCTGGAGGTCGATTCCGTACAGTGTTGCCAATGACCCGATAATTATCGAATTCTACCATAATTTTAACTACGAGTCAATAATCGATAATGACGAGCTAATCCAGGGCCGGATTAAGGGGGGGCTTTGGGGGCTAAAGCCCCGGGCCCCGTAATGAGGGGGGCCCCAAAACCCAACCTCACACGGGGAAGAAATCATGCATATAATTTTACAATTTCGATTTCGTCATCTATTATCTATCAATTATATCAAACTACAGTGACTTTATACAAGACAGTGGCGAAAATAGGAACCCTGATAGGGCCCACTCGCCATGTTTTGTCAAAATTTTTTCACCGGGTGCCACGCCCAAAAACGTCTATTTTTAGCCTTCGAAACAATTTTTTTGTACTACCAACAAATAACGGAACCGAACTCTGAGATTCCCTAAAAACTTTCAAATTATACCTAATTCTATAGGTAGAACCAGTTCAAAGAATGTATTTTTATCTCTTTCTTATGCAAGCTAGTAGAAAAAGACACGAATACACTCAGTGCGCAGTGCGCACTATCTATCCCTTCCAATAGAATTCTCTATAAATGGCATGCTGGCACTGCTGGCAGTGCGGACACTGTGCAAACTAGAAAACAAGCTGTAGAGAAACGAGAAACAAGAATGGGATCCAGCGTCAGCCTTAAGATCGCAGTCACGTCGCAGCAGTACTTGGCAACGTGGCAAAATGTGACTGTTCTATAATAGTTTTTTCGTCATCGTCATAGTGTACTGTTATCTTACTATGGGCCAGTTTCTCAATAGCGAGTCACCTCTGGGTTGATTTTAACTCCAAGGGCGAAATTTTTGAAAAATATTGCATACGAAATTTGATATGATTTCGAACGCTTCCCATTTAATTTACATGTCAGTCAAATTCGAATCAAATTTAGAATGGGATATTTTTCAAGACTTGGGCCACTGGTTAAACGTGTCCAGTTGCAATCTTCACCTTGGAGTTATGCTTAACCCGGAGCTGACTTGCTATTGAGAAACCGGCCCTATAGCATGAGCGAAATTGAAATCGGAAAGATGTTAAAATTTTGGAGAATTTCGAAGAATATAGCTTCGTAACATCATTTAGGGCTTTTTGCATTTTTTTGGTATCCGAAATCACAAAATTGACATAGAAATTTTGTTTTCCTTATTTTCTCTGAAATGTTTCCATATCGAACTTCTAGGTTTCATTTTCGAAGGAATTTCCTCAAAACTAGTCAAAACTAATATTAAGGGCCGGTTTATTCATCTTCTGATAAACTGTCAGGTTTGCAATCTGGCGGATAAAAACGCAATCTGGTAATCTCATTGGTCCGCCAGTTATCCGCCGACCAATAGAATCTTAGAACAGTACATTTATCTTGTAGATAGTTACAAGCAAGTTTATCTGAAGATGAATACCTAAACCGGGCCTAAATATGTAAGTTAAATTATTAAATATTGCTTCGCACACACTCTGCACTCTGCACAGTGCAGCAGAAACAATGAAATAACTTATGGCCATGGCGCTTCCAGTTAGTAGAAATATCTAGTGGCTAGTGGAAAGAAAATGTATTTGTGTTTTTATCTGTTTCTTTAACAGGCTGAGAGAAAGAGCTGGAAATACACTCAGTACTCAGTCGCGCCAGTGCGTATTAAATCTATTCTACCAATCGAAAACGCCTATGGGCTCGGGGTATTTACCGGATTTACCCGGTCATTATTCTTAAAACAGGGGAGCAGCGTTCCCAGAAGAACGAGTGTTTTGTCTTTGTTACTTATATTCGAGCTTATATTATCAGTTGCATATCATTGAGAAAGACGGAACACTCGTTCTCTTGGGAACGCTGCTCCCCTGTTTCCCTTTCAAGAAAAAAGGACCCCGGCGCCCGGACTCACTGTTTTTTGTTTTTCATTTCAACCTAACCTCACTACGAACCTAGTGCCACCTGTATGTGCAAGGTGATAAATTTAAAAATTAGGGGTAATTTCCCATAGATTCTCGAAAATTACCGTATATCCTCATACAATCTCGAACCTAAAAAAATAATAAATTCTCGAGAATTTAAGTCCAAAGAATATTCTCAGTAAATTCTCTGTTCTCGATAGAAGTTCTTTGGAGAATATTCTCAGGGCCATCTCTACGTCCACCGCAACGATCTTGGGGGGGGGTAATTACCCCCATTACCCCCCCCCCTTGTATACGCCGGTGACAGAAACTTTTTCTGATAATTTTTCTTGGAATCTGATAATTTTGTTCTCAAATCATGATAATTTTAAATTTGACATCTGGCAACACTGGTTCCGTCGGTTCCCAAGGATAGAAGGATATGGGCGACGGCGACAATTTCTAAATTATTTTCGAGTATACAGGGTGGCCCAATAACTAGTAGTGACACAAAGTTATGTTTTTTTAAATGACTCTGCCTGTATATTATGAGATTTTTGGATTCTGCGGAAAATTCTAGACATATCTCATGTACAATGTCATATACCTATCTTTAACTGTTTTGGAAATATTGACAGTCGAAAACTGACTTTATTGCATCTTTGACAGACTATAAAACCTGAACGGTTAATTTTACAAGAAAACGAATTTTACATTCCTATCTTAGTTTTTCATAAACTATCATTTGGCACCAATCTTGAATTTAATACATGATTAAAAATTCCGCCTAAATTATTAATCTTCGGTTAAATTCAAAGTTGTTGTCAAATGATAGCTTATGAAAATCTAAGACAGGAATGTAAAATCCGTTTGCCTTTAGAATTAACCATTTATAGGTTTCACAGTCTGTCAAAGATGCAAAAAAGTCAATTTTCAACTGTCAATATTTCCGAAACAGTTGAAGATAGGTATATGACATTATACATGAAATATGTCTAGAATTTTCCGCAGAATCCAGAAATGTTATAATATACAGGGGGAGTCATTTGAAAAAACATAACTTTGTGTCACTACCAGTTATTGGGCCACCCTGTATACTGGAAAATAATTTAAGGATGTAGTACTCATGTTTATGCACTGGTCAACACTAAGGGGTTCTTATTATTCTCGCCTTGACGTAGAGTCTTTGCATGGATGATACACACTACTAATAAAGAATAGCCTATCCTCATAAGGCCTGTGTAGAACAAATCCCCCCTCCCACCCACCTCAAAATCACCAGTTGTGACGTAACAGCATGTCCTTTCTCGGATGGACGTAGGTGCACTACAGATTATCATTCCGCGGGCTTTTGCTTTAGGCATACTTGGCTTTACTACATTAATTAACATTCTAAAACAACTTTTTTTAGATATCGTTTTCATCTTCCTTTTTGCCTAATATGTTAATCAAAATTAAATAACATTTTTCATCATAAATTTAAATTCTAAACTACGACCTCTAGTGCAAACAGTTGACGACTTGTTAATGACGTCGGAAATGATGACACACCAACATGGCGACGGTTATTAAAAATAAGGCGATAAGCAATCCCTTATAGTATGTATTTTCCTTGGGGTGTTTGCACCAAAGGCTATGATTCCGCTGGCTTTTGCTTTAGGCATAGGTACTGGGTTTTGGTACAATAATTAACATTCTAAAAAACTCCTTTTCCAGATATCGTTTGAAACTTTCTGTTTGCCTGTTATGTTAATCAAAATTAAATATTTTTTTTTGCATCCGTCTGTGAAATGAGCTTTCGCGGCCGCCACACCTTACGTGTTACGTGCAAAATGTGTCAAATACTTGTCAGTCAAAACCATACAGTTTTTCTGTAACTTTACATAATTTTCATAAGCTTAGTCCCGAGTCCCAACACGTCAATAAACCATACAATGTACCGTCACGATTCTGCGCAAAACCAAAAATTTGTACATAGAACTCCTAATTCGTATACACAGAGTGATTCCGAATTCGTTCATGGGACGGTTTTTGATGTGGTGGAACAAA